GCCACAGAACCTGTTGCCTCGAATTTACGCACCAGACGACCGATGGTTGTTTCGTTTGGGCGGTTGTTGCGACCGAAATGTTCACGAAGCGCGCGAAACGTGTTTTTTATTTTTGCACCATTTTTGTAGTGCTCTTGAATAACTTTAATGCGGTCTTCAATCGAATACGACTCCATAGCGATCAATGGTAAACATTCAACTAACAAAATGACATGTCGGTGACAGAAAACAAAGATGGCGTCTATGTCAAATTGGCGTTTATTTTCCTGAGTCCCTATTAGACAACCCTTCAGTTTTTTCCTAAATATCCAAACCTTATTTTAGTATAGTAAAAATAAATAAAAACAAAGAGTTCGATTGCTTGCATTAAATTAAAACATGTTTTTTTCTCCCATATAAACGTTCCACTGGATGAGATAACAGTCCCTCATTTTTTATAAATTCGTTCATAATTCGAAAATAAATAGCATTGTATGTGGGCTTTTGAACCGGCATATTACTTTAATTGGTATCTCTTGATTTATCTAAATTATTTTCTTAATTTATAAGAATGATATGGTTGGGACAGTTTTGAATGGGCGACTTTCCAGTTAGTAGAGAAGCACCCAGACATCATTTTTGCTAGCTGTAACACCTCTAGTGTCACTGAGTATGCTATTGTTGAATCCAAAAAAGGTATTAACTGATTGTGACCTTATTCGGTTAATTTTTCGTTAATGACAGGTTTTTCATCATCAAGAATAATAGTAGTAAATTTTCAGATTTTATAAAGTAATAGATTTTTATTCGATGGCACTGAGGTAATATATTTGCTCAAGTAGTAATAGACCTAGAACAACAGTAATAGACGGAACATACACTGAATACACGTATTGCACGTTTTTCGCTCCTCTCTCGCACACACACACACACAGACACACGCTTCTAGAGTATCTCACACTTCGGGCAGGAAAGGCCGGCAGTCGAATACTGTCGAGCTCTTCTGCCCCAGAGTGGCTGTGAAATGCTTCCAGTGTCAAAAAGATAGCACTGAGCCAGTGCTGCCTTTTACAATCCTAATGATGCCCAGCTGAATCAGCTTGTTAAACGTATGTATGGTTGCTATGGGAAAAATGGAAGTGTTCATAATTTTTACTTACAGTAGCATTAGCTATTAGATAACCAAAAAAATGAACTGATTTGCAGTAGCGACCGTAGAATAATTTTTATAGGAACTTGAGAAATTCTTTTTTGTTATTCATAACATGTGCTCGAAATATTGACGTGTTATTCTGGGACCCTATTTATAAGTCATGAGATTTGATCTTAAAATTTATTTAGAAAGAGGTTGATCATGAATTTTTACCAACTATACAAAGACGTTGAAATTATCATATGAACTCGCATCATCTGTTCATACACATTGTTGAACTTTGACTTGCCGAAATGCCATCCATTTTACGATCGAAGGGAGGTGAAATTATATTCAATGCCGAAGTTTATATTAGTTCGTATGAATTAATAGCCCACAAAGAAAACCCATAACCATCGAAGATTAAGTATATCTTTTATCTCATTCGTAGCATTCTTATGGGGTGATAAGTAATAAATCAACCCTCTGAAACCACCTTAATGTTTATCACAAAAGACATTTATGTTTAGTACCGCCTTTTTAACTTCTAGGCCGTTAAAATTATAACCTTTTTTACGATTGCCGCAATTTTCGCTGATTTACATATTCGGATAATCATGTCGTCGTGATTAACCATCCTATGCTTTGTGGATTAGTTTTTATAATTCTGCAGAGTTGAAAAGAAAATATTCAGACTGATTCACGTCGATATCAAAGTGTTCAGTGAAGTTTCCATCGATTAACCTGGTTTCACAAAACTGTTCTGGTTTTTGGTATCGAGTCCATTTTCCTTAAAGCGAGAGACCCTGCAGAATCCTTAGGAAAAAAGGATCATACAGGGTGTCGTTAGAAAAACTACGGAAATAACACTGGTGAACAAAATTAAAATAATTGTTTGTGACATGGACAAAACAAGGTGGTTATTATGTAAAACGTACCCAAAAAGACGGAAATAGTATTCGATTTTTTCTATCACCCATCGTTTTCCTGCAATAAAGGAGATGTGTGTAAGAGTACTAATAAACAATCAAATAAACATTAATCTCAGAATGTTGTTGTCGATCTTTTACGGCGATATGCTGCTCCTGACGTCCAGCAATAATCAGTAACCAAATTGACACTCAATTTGCCTTGATACCGTTTTTACATAGCACAAATGTCTTGGTGGAACCATTCACCATCACTTACCACACCCAAATTTTCTGTAAAAAAATTGAGATGAGAATCCTAAAAGTGAATTTTTAGAGACATGTTACATCCCATTCCTTTATAAGCATTAATTACTTCACTCACAATATCTTTATAATTGCCTGCCTTCACATTTCCTTAAAAATTTGCAGTAACTGATTTGAAAGCATTCCAAGCTCGTAATTCAGTTTCATTTAGAGCACTCTCAAATACATCATCCTTCATGATTTTCCTTATTGGTGGTCTCACAAATATGCCCTCTTTAATTTTTGCCTCACTAAGTCTCGGAAATGTTTGTTTTAAATGCAGAAACCCTCTTCCATTCCGATCCATCGCTTTCACAAAATTTTTCATCAGTCCCAACTTAATATGCAAAGGTTGGAAGCAACACGTTTTTGGGATCAACTAGTGGTTCATGGGCAATGTTTTTGAGGCCCGGAGTTAATATCTGACGTAGTGGCCACTCCTTCTGATCATAATGACCTTCTCGCGCACGACTGTACCATTCACAAAGAAAGCAATAATGGTATATCCCAGTTGCATTCCAAGAAGAGAGGGCTATTACCTTTAAATCTGCACATATGGCCCATCCATATTCATTATAACGGATATGCTCTAAAAGAACTCGCATATTTTCATATGATTCCTTCATATGAACTGCGTGCGCTATAGGTACAGATGGATATTTATTACCGTTGTGTACCAACACATCTTTTAAACTAAGCTTAGAGGAATCAATGAACAGGCGCCAATCATGCTTCTGACCTATCGCGTCAAACTAAGTCATCTAGTTCACCCTGTGTGATCAAATGCGGCGCTGCTGAACATCCTGGCAGGTCAAACGAAAATTTTTGCGCTTTCTGTACAATCACTTTCAGAATCGGTGGATTCGAATTTTTCATCCAAAGACTCCAAAGATTCTGATGGAACTAGAATAGAAAGTTCATCACTATACTTAACGGGCCGCAAAGCTGATGGTAAATTTAAATACTTAACAGTATGTTTCAATTTTGGTCCAATACCTTTAATATTTGTGAGGCAAGAATAGCAATCAGTTGTATGGTCTCTCGATTCTCTCCAAACCATTGGTACCGCAGAAGGCATTTTACGATTGTCGCCTGTTAACCAACCTGTTAACAACGTTACACAAGCCTTACAACATATATGAGGGACCCATAGTTTATCTTGGTCGCCAACTTTAATTCCATAATAAAGTTCGTATGCTTTCAACACAACGGGAATAAAAGTACGTTTTTGGGATTTAAAAGTTATCTCTCAGCACAGATAACAAAAACTGTTCTAGGCATTGTCCATAAAGCTAGTCGCGATCACAATAAACTAAAAACAACACACCGTTTTAACAAAAATTAACAGTACTCAGAACATCTCAGTCCACTTCGATACAGAAAACGTAACTGACTCGGCTGCTATTTGTCTACTAATAAACGCAATATGGTCTCTAAACATAGAGCTCTCTATAATAAACAGGAATAGGCCTATAGATAGGTCTTAACATTATATATGTGCGTCATCGCGTAAACGCCGAGAAATGCAGCAATATGAGATGTTACGTATTGTAATTCATAAAAGTAGATGTTACCGAATATCTGTGAGTGATAATGTTTTTAGATTTGATTTAAGGGTCTCAAAATACATAAGATACACGCAAACATTATGATGTCACAAATCCTGTGTTCATCAGTGTACTTAGAAAACACTCGCTTGAGTTTCATTAGTACTACTGTTTTTTTTATACTCCAACCACCACGAAGGCCTAAAGCCTAAACACCCATGGGGTACAGTGGGGCTATAGGGGGATGCAGTGGAAAGGCAGAACGCCACACGGACTATGGCGAGGGAAAACGTGTGGATGCAACATGCACACATTCTGGCCCCGCCTACGAGATCCGCCGGGTGGTACCTCTGCGTTCGACAGTCAGAGACCGTCTACCACCAAGAGAAGAATTTCTCTTGGGACGGGATTCGAACCCGCACAGCGCACGGCGACTGATCAGGAGACCGAAGAGTCTACTACTGCGGCCACCGCTGCTGCCAACGATGAACAGATTAATGTTAGGCTGGGGAGTAGCCAAAAAGCATGGAGCAGCTCTCCATCTTTGGGTGCACATGTTCAGACATAAGAAAGCAGGGAATGCTTATTTAGATTAATAAATGTAATAGTACATTACATGCCATGATGGAAATGTATGCTATTCTTGGCCAAGCATTTTTATATCCAAAAACGGATAGCGCCGAGGGCAACACCAAGGAATGTATAGATTTTGTTTCACTACTATCATATTACCACATTCCATTTAATTAGACTACATACCTGAAGAATCCGTAGATATCCCTGCGTGGAGGTCTGATCGATATCTGGCCGATGGGCGAGTGGCGAGGTGAGTCGTAGCAACCTTACTACATGGTCGGTGCAGTAAAGACACTTCTGGACTGCTTGTCAAATGGATAGGGGACTATGGACTAATTGTACAGGCCTTTCTGGCTGGATTGTTTTATTTAACATTTTTGTTAACCATCATTTTCTTCCTCAGAGGAACTAACTTGTGCCGAACATAATATTTTTTGAACTAATATCAGTGCAGCGTTGGAAGTGCGGTGTCAACCTACTTGACAGCATTTCTTTGAGTTAGATAGAGTATTTTAATGTAGTGCGAGTATCTGGTTAATAACTAAGTATGAATCAATGAAACGTTTTATTGAATTTAACGGGATAATAAGTGTAATAAAAATAGCTAATTTGATGTCATCTGGTAGAGTGGAGCAATATAAAAAATCTAAAATAATGTATTTGTATGTATTTTTTGAATTGGAAAACTTCTGGCCAGCATCCAAATGGTAAGTCCAGATGACACCGATATGCGGATCAGCTATTCGCTTCCAGTACCGTTCTTCTTCCCTCCCATGTTTGCCTTTTCATAAGAGCGGAATGCAAATCCTTCCAGAATAAGCATAATAGCAAGAATGCAGAAGATCCATTTTATTATGAACAGAAACTCCTTGACGATATCGCTGAAACTATTTCGAGGACGGTCACCATTTCCGTTATCATCATCCTCGTCGTCTCTTCTGCCAGCATTTGCAGCCATACCCGCTGGAGCTAGTATATCTGGAGTTACTGGGCGAGTTGGGCCTTCGGCGTACTCCTGGTTTGGAGCACCTGAATTAAAAAGTATACATTCAGAAAACCTGGTCAATTAAACAGTTGTTCTAGAAATCTTTGACTACCCGTAATAAATGTTTTAATTACTCTAAGTAACTAGAATATTCGGTTTAATTAAACTGAATTTTCTGGGACCAGTTTAATTGAAAGTAATATACAATTAAACCAATTTGCTTCAAAATAGCAAACCATGTACCTGATTTATAAACTTAGGTAACTTAGTTTATGTAGAAAAGGTACTTCAAAGACATTTAAACATTTTAATAAACACAGTTAGACGGTTTATTTGAATCGCTGACCTGGAAGGACTCATTCGTGAATGATTGGGAGTATGCGACAGACTCAGCTGCATTTGTAATTTTCGCGAGGAGCTTCATATTCGAATGTTGCCGTTGTTGGTGTATTAGATGTGAAGTGGATCAATAATTGTGATCAAGTGAATTACTTGAGCATGAGGCGCCTAGTGAGCCGTAACCATGGTTAGAATACTTCTCGCTCCAAGTGAAACACATATTTAGGTTAGTGAAGGCCAAACATGCTTGATGTCCTTTTTTGCATATTGTTCAACGTATACATAGGAAGTGCAGTCTTCTGTTGATGTAGACTTTGTAGTATTTGAAAACATCTTTGTTTATTTAAAATGCTGTCGAATTCATTTATATACAGGGTGACGCATCGAAAACGGAACAGACGCATTTACTGACAGCTCAGTTTTTTTTTTTTGGAAAAACGCCCAGACCCGTAGATTTTGTTTTCAAGGGGGACACAGGTTAGGCAAAAAATCACGTTAATACGTGCAGCCCCCTGGGCGGGGGTGACACCAACCCTAAAACCTTAAATGGAAAGGGGGGTCGAGTGATACCTTATTTTAAAGGACATTCAATTCCCTTTATAATGATATAAAATTAATGTACTTCAGTTCAGTAGTTTTAAGATTTATTGATTTAAAGCTTAAAGTAGACTTTAATAGGTACATCAGATTAGTTTGTACTACTTTCAGAAGAAATTTGACTAAAAGAATTTACTTAATAAGTAAATGCTTTTCTTGACTACGCCCATGGTTTGATTACCATTTTGTTGTTGAAAATAGCTATTGGAGCGTTTTTTTGTGGCAAAAAGTTATTTCTTGATGAAAGATAAGGAAATATCTAGTACTTATTTTAAATAGGAATTTAGTACATAGTTTGCGATTGATTTGACCAAACTTTGTTGCTGAAATAACTTATAACGCTTTATATTACATAAATTAACCATGGTATATTCCACAGCAGAACGAGTTGAAATTATCGAAATATTTTTCGGAAATAATCAGTGCGCTAATAGAACAGCAGAAATATTTCATGAGCGACATGCGAACAGTAACGTCCATCGAAAATATGTTCTAGAACTTGTAGCTAAATTTCGGGAGACTGGGTCAGCCGCCAATAAAAAACGCAACATTGAAAATCCCATAAGGAACGAAGCAATAGAAGTTGGGGTTTTAGGGCAAGTTTATGTAGATCCTACGTTAAGTACACGCAAATTGGAGACAGTGTGTGGTCTTAGTCGACGTACTGTCCATCGGATTCTAAAGACCCATAGTTTTCATCCGTATAAAATTCACCTGGTACAAGAACTTAATGAAGACGATTTTGATCGGCGATTACAATTTTATGAAGATATGAGTGAACGAATTATAAACGATGAACATTTTCTATTCAACATTTGCTTTTCCGACGAATGTTCCTTTTTCTTAAATGGCGTAGTAAATTGTCATAACTACCGATATTGCTCCTATTCTAATCCCAGAATTTAGCATGAGGTATTTGGAGTTACTGGAAGACGCCATAGATCCTGCATTAACAGCCATAATTGAAAATCAGAATGCGAATAGGTTGATGTTCCAACAGGATGGTGCCCCACCACTTTACGCATTACGTGTTCGACAATATTTAGATCAGACGTTTCCAGATCGATGGATTGGTAGAAGAGGTGTCATTGAATGGCCATCAAGGTCGCCAGATTTATCACCTTTGGATTTCTTTATGTGGGGTCATTTAAAAAGCAAAATCTATGCTACTCAGCCAACATCATTGGAAGACCTGCGACAAAGAATTGTGAATGAGTGCCTTCAAATTACTTCTCAAATATTGCAAAATGTGTGGCCACGTTTTGAGCAAAATCTTTATTATTGCATGGAGAGTCATGGTGGCCATTTTCAACATTTACTTGCCTAGCGGGTCAGTTCATTCTTCATTTTTAAATTACTTTGCTGCCAAATGTATTGATCTCCACTAATGATGATGTATTAGTTTTATTTAAGCTTTAAATCAATAAATCTTCAAAACTACTGAACTGAAGTACATTAATTTTATATCATTATAAAGGGAATTGAAATACCTTTAAAATGAGGTATCACTCGACCCCCCTTTACTTGCCAAACTTGTGTCCCCCTCGAAAACAAAATCGACGTGTCTGAGCGTTTGTCAAAAAAAAACTGAGCTACCGGTAAATGCGTCTGTTTCGTTTTCGATGCGCCACCCTGTATGTAAATGCATTAAATGTGGGTGAGTGCAATATTGTTCTATCATTAGCAATTAAAGTACAATTTTTTAACACATGATCAAGTGGCCTTTTCAGATTCAGGTAGCCCTTTTCCTACTTTCTGAATTTAAAACAAAGAATTGCATCTAGTGAACGGTGACGTATTATAACCTGTTTCTGGACAAACAAACGTATGGTAAAACATGATCTCATACATAATACGTTCACAATTAATGAAAATAAAAAATTGTGTTAGGGTTACAAAATTCGGAACTTTTTATTTTGATTTGGAAACATCAACTATCAATATCATGTTCTCTAATTTATTTGATATCTCAGCTTTGTCTGAGCACAGCTATAATATACAACATTCAATGAAATGCAACATGTTTTTTTAAATGCCAAATATTATCCAAATATCTAAATAAAATAGTTTTTAAAGTGACTAGGCAAACACGTTTACCCATTGAACAAATCAAATGAATGTAAGTAAATTGTTTTACATGGAGCAGGTAAGCTCATTTTAATATTTAATAGTTCATTAATTTAAAATGAATTGGTTTAATTATTCTAAGTAAACAGTTAGTTAGTTTATTTAATTTCTTTCTCAGTGTAATGGTAGTAATTTTTGTATGTCTGACAACATCAAAAATCATTGTGTCTGGGCACAGGTGCTTGCAAAACATTTTTTGCTACTTGATGCAATACTGTTACTAGCTTAGACCTTTGATGAGTAGTTGTATTTTGACATTGAATATGACTTTTCCTTTAGAAATGAAAAAATATAGACGGGGACATTATTATAAGATTTTTTTTTAATACAACAAAACCAATGTTGGTTTTAGCGTTTCACTCTATGCTTATTGTCTTTCCTGAGGTACCTTATTTAACAAAATGATGCCACAGAAAATATGAGCAAACTGGGAAACATATTACAAATATATTTTCGTGGTAACCTTGTTATGTTACTAGTGCATATTTTAGAATTATTTTAATATATACAGGGTGTCCCATAACTTCATGGCATGGTAAACATGGGTAGAGCTTCTGAAAACAAGAAGTTTGATGTCAAATAACATTGTTTTGATGTTTAGTGAAATGCCGAACTTTGATGGCTCGCAGCTCCGCAATCTTTGCAGATATTTAGATAAACTTCAGGTCACAAACATTGTATCACCATCGATTTCAAGCTAATCTGAAGAAAATGCTAAAATATCATTCTATTTATACAGGGTATCTCGAAACACAAAATTTACCTTTCCTCAAAAATTTCAAATGGAACACTATAGGTTTCTACATAATTAAATAGCTGTTCTTGAGAACTTTTCTTTTGTATAAAGCTTATATACCACTCTTTTCAGGTTAAAAAGGTTAAAAAGCTGTGTAAACCTTATATCAAAAAAAGTTCACCTAAAAACTATACCTATAACGAGAGGTGTTCCTCTTGAAGATTTTTAAAAAAGGTACACGAGTCTGCTTCTCTAATAACACCGCAAATCACAGCGGACCAGAACACCTAGAAGCTGACAAAAGGTACAATTTGTACGGAATTAAAACGATATTCAGACAGCAGTGTTTTTTGTGTCGCTTCAAAGTTCTTTTTAAGTTCACTTTCAAAAGAGTCCAATCGCATGCCATTTAAGCTTTTGTGGTCGTTGTTTACGAATTAGAAGACAGTTAGTCCTAAGAGAGCATACAAAGGTCACCTCAAGGACACACTCAAAATAAGTCTAGCAACTGAGTCTAAATGCGGCTTTTGAGGTAGTTGTGTCCAAATCTGATGTCAGGTTAACTATAAGAAGGCCTTTGAAGGTGATTTTAAGGTCACTCGAATGAAAAATTCAAAAATGGTCATTAATCGTCCTTTGGGCAAACGGATTATCTCGAATTTTGCCGTAAAAAATAGTAGTGTAATGAATTTTGACACGAATAGTTTATGGTAGTGTCGTACAAATACGTAGGTATAGAAGAGAATAATAATAATAGTGATGATACCTCCTATGACGTTGTTGTTGACGTCCGAAGTGGTCACAGCACACCTTTCTTGCTCGCACACCCAGAATACCCGATCACAAACAGCAATGCGAGGATATCGTTGAAACCCAGCAAGCCTTCCCCAATTGCAACCCCTGTCCGGGTGGGCTCGGTTATAGAAATACTGACGCATCATCATTTTGCACACCTATCACGACTTATTTCGATGCTAGTGCTACCGACAATTGATAATGATGGTTCAACAAAAGCTGCTCTGCTTTTATAGACTGCCATGGATTGCTGATTGCCGTATTGTTCTTATAATGTAAACAATAAATTCGCTAATCGGTTGTGACTGAGAGTTCTGGAATATTCGCAACGTATAGAACATAGATAACATCCCTGTTTTATAGACTATTATTGAAATCACTTTTATCGAATAGAATAACCACCTTGTACACGGTGACCAAATGATACTTGACCAACAATCATCAACAAGCACCCTTTCCCAGCTACACCAACGAAGTTTGCTCCTCAGAGCTGTCTTCCATGGTGAAAAGCTTCCTCTGGTAGATGTTCCACAATCTTGGTACCCTCGGGATAAAGGAGCGGTCATATCAGCCAGTTTGACACAGTTAGGATGGGAGGCCAAAGTCAGGCGGGTCTGTCTAGCAGGCACATTGCGTGGCGGCATCATGGAAGAGAGCTCTGAGGAGCAAAGCCCGTTCGTGCAGCGGTAGAAGAAAAATATATCGCCGACGGCCCGCCGGTGCGAAAGGGTCCCGTTAGTGTCTGTTAGAGAAGAGTCATCGATCAGTCGGACAGCCCTCCTCTGGACAGCATCGAGCATAAATAATGTAGTCGGGGCGGCAGCACCCCAAACGCGTGAGCAGTACTCGAGGCTAGGCCTCATCTGGGCCTTGCATAGAGTGAGAAGGACATGCGGAGAAAAGTACTTCTTAGCCCTAAGCAGATAGCCTAGCTTTTTCCCAGCAGCTGCCGCTACTGACAAGATGTGTTCGTTGCAGATCAGGTTCTCGGTGATCTGGACTCCGACCAGCCGAAATGAACGGCTCTTTGGTAGAACTCGACCGTGCATCGAAAGCGGATGGTCGCTAGGACGCTGTATGTCGGTCCAGGTACAGTACTGTCTTTTGAAAGCACTAAGCTGTACAAGATTGTGTTGCATGCCCAAGTAGTGATAACCTCCAGGTCTCTCGTCAGAAAGGAAGTCGTCGCGAGTCTCCTTTTTCCCAGCTCAGCGGCCGAGATCGGCTTGTCACTTTGAATTCCTGTATGTAGAGTGCTGTCATCGGCGAAGCTGTGGATTGGATTGATCTTGCAGGTAAAGGAGGCCGTTGATATGTAAGAGGAACATTGTCGGAGTCAAGACGGATCCCTGGGGAACACCCGCGTTGGCGTTGTGGGATGAAGAGGAGAACCCGTCAATTACGACGGATATCTTGGGGCCAGAGGGAAAGTATGTCTGCCTTAAAAAGTATTTGACCTCAAAGACAAATCATTAGGTAATCTACTGTTAGCCTAAGAAATATTAAGTTTCTTTTTGGACATTTAGGTAAGCAAAAGTTATATTTGACTATTCTTGTGAGTTAGCAACCTAAATTGGTAAACGATGAAATAATTTGTTTCGTATATGAACTGATGAGAGCCTTGCGTGGGGAGTGCAGAGTCAACCTACTTGACGCCATTTTTCAATAATACATATAATACGTACGCTAAGCTGGTATATTGTTTCGCTATGGTTATTATGTTCTGTAGTGATTAAGGGATTGAAGGTGGTGTTTGTGTCTGGTCACAGTAGTACCTCTTCCTCAAGTAATCTCGCAGCACCACATGTGGCTATAGAGGCGTATGATAAGGGTTTTTATAGCCGCGGAACAGTTATAGCACCAGGGTTCACGAAAGCCATACTTTTTCTACACTTATTCACTCTGATAGATCATATCTATGTCCAGGAGTAAGGACACTCATAGCCGTCTAAGGGAAAGATACCAGAACGTACGAAAGTTGACCCACATACTGTACCATATATGGTGCATACTCACAGTCCATTGTTTCTGTCTTTAAATCATCGCCACCTTTTTTACTGATACCCGCTTTGCCTTACAGCCCTTAACGTCGAGGTGCAAGGACTGCCGCCGCGTAATGAGGATATCGCGTTATATAAAATTTGATTCGAATTCTGCACATGATGCGTCCATGGATTCAAGATTCTTCCAAATCAAATATCCTTATTTCCACTGATGCTCACTCTACTCTATGGGCCTGATGTCGAGGTACAATCAACCAATAATAAAGATACCAGGTCGTATCTAACTGTACTTAGATTCACGATGCATATTCAAAGTTCATTTGTCCTATTTTTGAAACCAAGCAGATTGAACGGAACTTATCACACTTACGTGCTAGGATGGAACGAATGTAACCGAATCAGAGGCTAAGGCGGAAGTGCTTGTCAAGTCTTTGCAGTCAACTCCACCATGGAGGCACTAAGACGGGTGCCCTTGTCGCTCGAGGTCAAAATAACTTCTAGACCGGACTTGATTCCTGCCGTTGTATTGAAGAGATGTGCAGCGGCGCTTCCTTCTGTTCTTTTGCGTCTCTTCCAGATATGTTACGAATCCGGCACCTTCCCAGGAAACTGGAAATTTGCTCATATCCAACCCATCCCAAAAAGGGGTGTAAGTCCGACCCTTACAACTACATGCCCATAGCTCTGCTTTCTAAATAAGTTGATCGAGAGGTGCATACATCACGAGCTTTTGGAGTACTTCATGTCGTTGATTTTGTTATCCGCTGTGGTTTGCTGCTCTCTTATGAAAACTTCTAGCCTATGGCCTCCTAGAGAAGCTTTGCAAATGAGCGACTGACTTTCTCTCTGGCCGCAAGATATCCGTCGTGATTGACTGGTGCTCCTCGTTATCCTACAGCGTCAACACGGGTGTTCCCAAGGGATCGGTCTTGGTTCCGACAAGGTTCCTCTTGCAAATCAACGACCTATTTTCCTGTACGATCAATCCAAACCACGCTGATGAGAGCACTCTACATGCAGGAATTCAGAGTGACAAGCCGGCCTCAACCGGGAGCATGAGAAAAGAAGACAAGCCGCAACTTCCTTTCTGACGAGAGACCTGGAGGCTATCACTGCTTGGGGACGCAACAATCTTTTACAGTTTAGTGCTTCCAAAACACAGTAATGTACTTTAAACGTCCTAGCGCTCATCCGAACACATCTCTTCAATAGCGGCAGGTGCTAGGACAAAGTTCTGCTATTTGTTCATGGCTGAGAAGTATCTTTTCCACATGACCTCATTCTTTGCAAGGCCCAGATAAGACCTGGCCTCGAGTATTGCTCACATGTTTAGGGTGCTGCCGCCCCGACTACAATATGCATGTTCGATGCTCTGCAGAGGAGGGATGTCCTACTGATCGATGTCTCTTCTCTAATTTACTGTCTCGGGACCCATTCGCTCCGGGGGGCCTTGGCGGTCTAACTCTTCTACCGCTACGCCGGGTATTGACAGAGGAGATTTTTCCCTGTTCTACTAACATTTAACAGTAAAAAAATCGGATTAACAAAATTTCTTTGGGACAGCCGCGGTGCCCTGGCATTTAGGCTTTTACTTCGGTATAAAAAAACTGAGAGATTGCGTGGTTCTCTTTCCTAAGGAATGATCCAGAATTCCCAACAGCTGTTCACTATTGTTAGACAAGTCTGTGAATGCATGCATTAACCGCATAATGATATGTTACTGAGGCCTTCACACCATTAGATGTTCACAAAGATAACTTAGACTTTTATGAATTTATTTATAAATTAACCCCCTTACGTAGCAACTACAGAATCGATCTACTTGATGTAATTTTTTTATATATATTCTGTATGGATCATATTGAAACTTCAAGATAATTTAATAGCGGATGTGTCGAATATGCTGACTCAATCAACTTCAAGTTTGTTTATAAAGCCATGACAAAAATTTGAATCATAACAATGAAATGTTCATTTAATTTTATTGCTAGATTTATCTCACAACTGTCGACTAAGCAATATTGCTTCCGATACCTGCGATATCGCAAAATAATTTGCCAATACATCACAGACCACAAAAAATCACTTGCTATCTACTTTAAAATTGCTATGATTCAATTAGTAATATCGTATTGGTCAGAGATTTCACTCTGCATAAGGGGGGATAGAACAAAAGAGTGTCGCTTCAAAGCTCAGTCTTGTATTGGCTTTATCTTCCTATGGAAGCTGTTCAAGTTAATTGTGCAAAATGAGTTCTTCTGGTAGTGGAAAAGATCCTAAAAGAGAGGTTAATATGGAAGAAGAACTTAGGGAAGCCAGAGGAGATGCTGAAACAGAAGTTGGAGATGACGACATAGAGTATTGTCAAGCACCAACGAGGCCAATTTCTCCGGAGACCGAAATTATAACCATTGAATGTTGGGATGATAATCAGAATAATGAGAATATTGAGCGTGAGGGAAACCATCAAAATAACCAAAACTACGAAGAGCAGGATGAGGATATTCAAAAAGACGATATCATGAACGAGGTACGCTGGTTCCTGAGATGGCTGTTCTGCTGTGGCTTGATGATGGTGGTCTTTCGGGAAGCCAGCTCCCTTCTGGACTAGATGGGCGACGAAAGCTGGTAAAGAAGTTGCTGAATCCATCATCAATTGTACACATTTTAAATGTATCTGAAACTATTGGTTTTGTGGTAATTGCAACTCTGACATAAAAGTTCACAGGTAAATTGCATTTTGATTATTTATACCTTTGTGCTACCGGCTTTCCAACCCTTTATGATAATATGAAGAATTTATGTACAATTTTTACTTACTACTCCGCTGGGCGAGGAAGTATTGCAAAAAATTCGGAAATGAGATATGTTTTTTGTTGTTAAAAAATTTCATTACAAAAGTAGCCATGGGAAATTGCTGAAAATTATTGTCAGCCTCCTAAAATGGCCGCTAGAGGCCGTATTTTCATTTTGAACAAGTCAAAGGTCATTATTTTGCCAAAGTGTGTAATTAGCGACGACATGTGGACAGATGGACGGTAACCACAGGTAGAGCATTGAAATAATGTCTATGAAGTAATTGTATTTGTATGTTTGACTCACTTGGTCTGTTTAATCTCTCTATTCAACATGCTATAAGTTTAACCTGTGCTGAACTTAATTGGTTATGACGTGATAACGGTATTGCGTAGGGTATGCAGGGTCAAGGTACTTGAACGGCATTTCATTGCTATGAACAGTTGACTTATTAAGATTAGACAATATATTGATATTGATTTTTCGCTCAGATACTCAGACACGTACTTTCTGAATCCGCCAAAGTTAGGTTAACTAATTCGTTGATTCTAAGCAAAGTAGAATATGCTGATTCTATGTTTGGTCCTTGACTGATACAAAATTAATCCTACAGGTTGCAAAAGATTCAAAATACATGCGTCCGTTATGCAGTAGGTATCCCTCGACGAGAAAGTATATCACCATACCTGTATTTGAAGCGTATTCCATGGTTAACTATGAGAAAAATGTGGATGGTACATCTCGTCGGCTTTCTCACAGAGTGTCCTAACCAACGTTTAGTAAATTTTACAGGAAGGCAATAAAACGAAATCAGTGTGCGGTTAATTGAGCGTTGTATGAAAAGTTTAGATATTTCCGTATTGAAAATTTCACTGTATCAGCCCATATTAATTGTCGATCATATGCTGTTTCAATATTTGCGGTAACCTGTCAAGTTAATTTGGAAGAAATTGGAAAACGCACGTAAGTCACTTCGTGAAAATTTTCAGAAGCTTCCTGTCAGATAGAGCTAAAATATATTTTTATTAAAGTTCTTATTATACTTTTTTAAGATATACAGGATTTATGTCATTTACTTATAAACAAAGAATCATATTTCAGCCAAGGGTGCGATTATCTCAAAAAATCTCTTTATTGTTTAATTCTTTAAGTAATCGTTGGTCTGCTAACAGCAGAGTTTACGTAAAAAAGTTCAGATCGACTTTTGAATTTTGGATTCCCCCGTACAAAATTTGCCTGAATGTCCATGCCTGAAACTGATTTAGATTATGACACATATATTAGGCCATGAGATGAAGAACACATCTCGAACCCCAAAGTAATTTTTATTAAAAGAAAAGCAACTAATTTCAACATTATCTTTTTGACATATTAGTCGCTACTGTTGATGTATTATCATACACAAAAAAATAAAGGCAGAGTTGTTAATAATTCATTCCGTTTCATGGGGCAATTTTCTAAAGAAGTTTTGGAATTCTGGTGAGCGTACAACGTGTGTTGGATTTTCAAATAACGAAAGTAAGTCGGAGTACTTCTTTTTTGTTATCTTTACTGGTTCCTTATTAAGTTGTTCTAGTTTAATATCATTTATATTAATACTTTTTGTCATCAGTCTTTTTAACTCAATACAGTCAACTAGTATCGTAGTAGCTATACTTGGAAAATATTTTGGTGGGCATGTCTTTTCTTACCATAAACTCCATAATACCTGTCCATTTAATATTCTGCCCTTTCTCAGTCTGCCGTGTGGACAACACCGTTACATCTTTTGAAAGTTTCTTGAAGTCAAAAAAATTCATTGGGATTGCTAAATCGAAAAACCGGATAGAGTTGTGAGGGTTCAAAGAGATCTCCAGCTCCCTTTATTGCAGTATGAATTGCACTTTGGCCATGATTCGACCACCGAGGTGGTCATTTAGGTCTCTTCGTGGAAATTATATATTTACTTTTGTAAATAAGGGCTTAATGATATGTTGCCTACACTAAAAGATATATCTTCGTCAGATTAACCGGCATGGAATAATACACCTATATGCGGGTTATCTCAATTTATTGTATTTTGTCAGTTAGGACACTTCGTGAGAAAGGCGACGATCTGTGCTGTTTGGTGTATTCTGTTCTTTATAATAAACGCCTACTTAAAAGATAAATTATCAATACGAAATCAGTATCATAACCCCAATCTCAGATTTGTCGATCATGCGCTAGATATTATGGCATGTCGGAAGTTCCTTTGAATTTCTTCAGATCCGTATCTAACTGATCGCACCCAAAGAGTGAAAACATCTAGAGGAACTTCTGATGCACGGTATCTGTCATCAGGAGTTCCACAGGGTTCAGTACTGGGACCTCTTTTATTCCTAGTATACACATTCGATCCGCATGAGTGTGTAGAACATTGTTGCATTCAAATGTATGCTGACGATACACAACTAACATTTCGTTTCAATGCATCCAACTTACATAAAGCATCGTATAAAATTAACCTTGGTCTTGATAACGTATTAACGTATTGTAATAGACACTGTCTCCGCATCAATCCATCAAAATGCACCGCGTTACCATGCTGTCCTAGACATTCAAATTACAATATCACAAATCGAGTCTCCTTAATTACACTGATCAACAGCCAAAAAATATCCTAAATAAAATCAACAAATATTACTATTTTTAATGTGCTAAAACCGGAATGAAACTTATTTTTTCAATATTAGTTCAAGTTTTAGAGATACGGTAATTATATGTGTTCCTGCTGTGACAGTGTTAATATACTGTATTCACAAGAATGCACGTGCTACATTTTTATATTCGGCAAGGAAAGATGATGTAATCGGCATGATTGTGTTACGTTATACATACGTGTACATTATATTGTTTTATATTAGCCATTTTTTCCTCAGTTGGCTGACAGCGTTCATGCAAGATGTCTCGAAAGTGTGTAAACAATCCAGATCAGTTTTGTTACGTGTGTGGTGATGTGACTTTTGCGTCTAAGAGACGGTCTATTACTCCACTAATAACAAAGGCATATCAGCTTTATTTCGGTTGTAAACTAGGTGATCAAGACAAACAGTGGGCACCCCACGTCTGCTGTAATACATGTGCTTCAAGTCTGAGGAGCTGGTTAAATGGCAAAAAACGGTCTATGCGCTTTGCTGTCCCAATGGTTTGGAGAGAGCCTACAGATCATATTAATGATTGTTAACTTTTGCATGGTACCTTGTGTTGGACAAGCCACAGGTATGTCCAAGAAAAAAAAATCGGTTATTAACTACCCAAACATACCATCTCATCGCAGAACTATAACCCAGAAGAATGGAGATTGTTTATAGACAGTAAAACATTGAGTTTAAAGGTAGTGTTATTTGCATATTGGAAATATTTTACCATCTCTTCCTGTAGGGTATGCAGTTCACATGAAAGAATCATATGACAATATGAAGTACCTATTGACATGCATAAAATACGATGAGCACCAATGGCATATTTGTGGCGATTTGAAAGTTGTTACACTTTTACTTGGGCTGCAGCTAGGCTACACAAAGTTTTGCTGTTTTTTTGTGTGAATGGGACAGTCGGGCAAAGGCACTTCATTACGCCAGACAAAACTGGCCTGTTCGTCAATTCCTAGAGCCAAGTCAAAAAAATGTACAGCATATGCCATTAGTAGATTCGAAAAAAAATTTATTACCACCACTGCATATCAAGCTGGGCCTAATGAAAAACTTTGTCAAGGCATTAGATAGAGATGGGTCAGCTTTTCAATACCTACGTCAGAAATTTCCAAGACTAAGTGAGGCAAAGGTTAAAGAAGGTATTTTTGTTGGGCCACAGATTCGAAATATTTTGAAAGATACACAGTTTGAAAACACTTTAACAGGTATTGAAAAAACTGCTTGGAATGATTTCCGTCTGGTGGTCACTAATTTCTTGGGAAATAGAAAAGCTGACAACTATAAAACCCTTGTCAAAAATATGCTGTCATCGTATCAAAAGATGGGCTGTAATATGTCTGTTAAGATACATTTCCTACACTCACACCTGGATTTTTTCCTGACAATTGCGGAGCCGTAAGTGATGAGCACGGCGAACGTTTTCATCGAGATATTTCAACAATGGAAAAAATGTACCAGGGAAAGTGGAATCCTTCCATGCTTGCAGACTACTGTTGGACTCTTGGTAGAGATGCTCCAGAAACGATCCATAAAAGAACAGCAAAAAGACAGCGCATATAGTGACTCTTATAAGTATATGAATCTTGTTACTTTTTTTAATAAATCCTTAAAATGAAAAAAAAATTTACTAAACCGCAACTAATTTTTTATTTCATTGTCATTTTTGGATTCAGTGCCCCAAAATTAACAAAGAAGTGCACTTTTCCCACAAGATACAATTAAAAAACTAAAATTTGTTGTCCAGTGTTATTATAATTTATGTCTGCACCTGGAGTAGGATTTCTAAAGGGAGTCATAAGGTATGGCTCAATACGATAACCGTCATCGCCAAGTACTACAACATTTGCTTTATTTATTAGTTGTGATCTAGTCTGTGAATTTCTCCATATTCTGGAATCATGCACTGACCCAGGCCAACTGACATCAACACTTGTGAACGTCTCTCTGGCATTACAAGTGGCATAAATGACATAAATATTCCATTTTTTGATAATGCTAAGACTCTAGGTGTTATATTTGATTCAAATCTTATATTTAATTTACATGTGAATATTCCCTGTAATATGAAGTTATATGAAGATGAAGCTTTTATATTCTAGTCGCCATATTCTAAACTTTAAGTGCCGTAAAAAGTTGTGTG